AAAAAAAATCCCAAATTAGTTTAACTCGAAGTTTTTTCCAGTCAACTGCAGAGAAATGTAAAACTCTCATCCTCTGCAAACATTTTATCTGCAAAGAAAAAAATCATTTGAAGGTAAAATTCTACACTAAAAAAGAAATCATATGCTGACTAGAGTTTCTTCATGATGATGGGACTTAAAAGGGAGCAGGCTAACTAAATCTCACAGCGTGAAGAAAAGTCTTTAAGCTTGAACTTCTTATAGATGTTTTCTTTGGTATATTACTGCTACTTTTTACATGGAGGAGACTGTCCAAAATACACTTGTTCATTGCCTCTTTCAAGCATGAGCAATAGTCCCTTTTCTCTCTTCCTTTCATTCTTCAGTCTCTCCCCCCCCCCCCGCCTCTTCCTTCTTTCTCTCTAGTGGGGTCCTGGGGCCATCTCCCCCCCCCGGAAAATATATCCCCCCCCCCCCCCAGCTTCTAGTCTCTTACAAAAATAAATCTGCTTTCTTTGGTTTATAAAAAAGGACCACAAATAATTCTAATATAGCAATTATAAGAGCCCAGGCATGTTTTCTCAATTTTTTTTAAAAAAGCAGCAACAACTAAACTGTCTGTGGCTGAATTCCACTCATTATCCAAAGGCCTATAAATTAAACCCAATTGATGATTGGAATACAACAAGTGTTCACCAATCTTGGTAGTATTCATTACCCTAATTTTTACCACCACCCCCAAAAAAATCAGTTTACCACTTCCTGGTTTTTTTCTTATACCTTGGGTCAATATTCCCATTACCACAACTAACAAAGACCCCTGCTCCTGTTGACATGAGATGCTGGGATGTGTAGTCAATAAGATCCGTAGGGTACCAGGTTGGTAGAAGGATGGTTCATTTACTTTAAGCACTTCCAGTGTTCAGCTGTCAACAAAATGCTGAGTTCCCCCCTCCCCAAGGAAGATGTAACCCTTTTTCTCATGAAGGCGTAGGGACCTCTAAAGCTTGTTGTCCTTGAATACAGCAACAAATGTACAAAAAAAGAGCCTGTAGTGAGTGTGTGCAAAACTGCTATTTTAGAGACAGCTTTAAATTTCAGAGATTTGAGGGGGGGGGAAATAGAGCAGTGTGCTTAAAGTCATAATTTCACTTTGCAAAATGACACATATGCGCGAGCATATACGTAACATCCCTTATCAAAGTTCCTGAAATTCCCATGACTCATTTCAGAACACCCCAAAGTTAGGCTGCTTGGAAAAGCTAAGATTGAAATTAAAGAGCAGGAGGAAGCCAGGCTGTTTGGGAAAAGACTCTGTCACTGCAGCAAAGATGAACTCAAGGCCATCGAACTGCAGCCTAAGTGGCATCCTGGCTTCAAGTGCAAATCAAGGTTTATTTGGCAACCACACCCACTTTCACAGAGGGCAGGATATACTTTGTGGATTTATTTATTTTGTTCATTGTTGCTGCTAGTTTCAATACTGCACACAGCATTTAGATAATCTTGGAAGATAGCTGTGATTTCTAAAACATTTACCTCTCTTTTTTTTGGCGTGGCTAAAGACATTATGCTGTAAGACTAGAAGAAAAAGGCTTTTTTTTTTTTTACTAAGGCAGCTGGTCAGCTGAGATTCTGCGAACCTACTAACCCAATGTTTTCCATCAAGTATCCTTTGGTTTCTTCCTCCCTTCTTAAAACAAACTGGGAAGTCCACATTCCAAGTATTACACATTGGAAATAAGAATAAAACCCCAGTCCTGTAAAACCAAGGCCTTTCCCCACACCTCACAGACTTTTTCCTCTCTTCCAGTTTTAGAACATCTATTCATGTTGAAAAATGAGTTAGGGTGGGGGAGTGAGGGAAGAAAAAATTACCGGAGAAATCATAGCTTGGTTTTATGAATTGGAACCCATCTTCTAATTCTGAGAAAGCTTTAGGGTTTCTCAAGGACCTTCATGCCACCAAAGGTTAGACTAGATAATGAAGGTCAAAGCCTAATACATAATATATTATTAAAGTGTCTGATTCTAAAGGTAGGTTTCTCTGGTCCCACTCTGCAAACGTTAGGAGGACAATAGCCAGTTCGGTTTTAGACAGAACTAAAACAAATGAAAGCCAAGCTCCCCTCTTCTTCCAGACAAGGACTAGTCTTTCAGACTAGGGTTTGACAGCAGTGATTATGCAGCTGTAAATGCTCTTCTAGAAATTGGGGCTGAGTCTCCTAGGATCTCTTGTTTGGAATACTGAAGAAAGAAGGGAAGGGAAGGGAAGGGGAGAGGAGGGAGTAAGTAAGTAAGTAAGTAAGTAAGTAAGTAAGTAAGTAAGTAAGTCAAGTGAGTTAGGCTGTAAAAGTTTGTTAATGAAAACAAAAAAGTGAAGGAATGCAGGCAGCCAATTAATTGGGGAAAAACCCTGCTATCAATATCTGTAGCTGAAAATCCTGCCTTATCTCAAACCCTTCCTAGTTTGGAAGGCTAGGAAGAGAAGCTGAGAAAAGAGAGAGAGAGAGAGAGAGGATGTGGGCGGGGGAGACTTGCACGAATGTTATTTTTAAAGATCCGGCTTTATTAATACGTTAAGAAAGAGCTCCCTTGGCAGCCGGGTTCTTACAGCTCCATCTCAGATCCTATAAAACATTAATGCGCTGAAAGCTGTTACCGGGATTGGCAGAGACCAGCTCCAAGCCCTGGGAAAGTTGTCGTCTTCAAAAGGGGTTCCGCGCCCTGAGAATCTGCTGATGCACTCGAAAAGGGTGGGGGGAGAAAAAGAAGGTGGATGGGGGTTGGAGCTTTCACTCCTCTGTGTTCAAAGGAAGGAGAAGCCTCAAGGAGACTCCTCAATGTTCTTCCCCCACCCCCCACCCCAGGAAGGACACAGGCCTGTCCTTGGGTCTGAACAGAGCACCAGACATCTGTATCTACAGCTCTCTTTTGCTCTCATACACCCTCTGGAGACTAGATCACCAAGGAATCCTTCTCTGAAAGGACCCAGAAACCTGAAGCCACACTGATATTGGGCTGTGCCATGTGTGAGGGAGTTTAAGACCCATAAAAATATTTAACCTCGACAAAGATAGTCCAAAGGCAACCTCCCTCCTCCCACTACAACCTTCACATGCAGCATTCCCATTGGTATTCCGGATTATGCACACAGAAGGGCTCAAAGCTATGAGGCTATTAAAGGGATTCTCCAACTTTTTCTATTTCGTCAGCTTCAGTCTCTACCCTTGTAACATCAAACCAATTGGCGTGGGAATGCCTAGAGACACAGGCACCTTACTAGACCCCAGGTTCAACCTGTTATCCCCCATTCCCACCCCTTGAAAGTCTTGAGGGAAGCTGCAAACCAAGGGTTGGTGTTGAGAGGGAAAGTAGGACTCCCAACTCCATAGACAAGCAAGTGGGGAAGGGAACTCAAAGGAGCACAGATTAAGGGGAGGGCAGCGGGACTCCAGGTCCTTCAGGGTGTTCTTGCCTTTTGTTCTTTTTGCTAAATTCTTTTATTTGTGTTTAAATTCTCACTTCAATTTTTTAATTCTTGAAGAACAGCTTCAACAACATATATCGCACTCATTATAAGAAGCAAAGGGTTATATCAAAAATTATTAGTATAGAATCACAGGAAGCCTGGTTTGGAACCAGAAAAAAATACAAAACAGATATAGATACATACACACAGAACAATTCCTTGTTTTTTTTAATAATTATTTGGAAAACGTTATTTCCCCTTCCCTAGATTTTTGTTTCTTGTGTTGGTTTATCTTCTCTCCTTTTTATGCGCATAACGATGTTTTTAAATTTTACAAAAAAAGTGAAAATAAAGACTAATATTTTACAAAATGAAGAGCAATGTTCGTGGTCAGTGTTTCCCCGTGGGTCCCCCTCCCGTTCCCCCTCCCCCTCGGTTCAGTTCGGCTTCAGTTTCCTTTCCGAAAACTGGGTTTGCTGTACACTTGATCCCCATTTCGGTCCGTGATCAATCCAGGAAAATCCATCTCATCCTCTTCCTCCTCTTCCTCTTTCCTCTCTTTCTCGGAGGGGGGTAGGCGGGCGGGCAGTACAATGAGAAAAATCCCTTCGGTCTTTGCTTTTTTTTTTTTGTTCCTTCGTTTTAAAAAGTCTCCCACCTCGGGGTCGCCGTTGGTTCCAACACAGGCGAGCTGCCCCCTTTTTTGGCCACCGCCGCCGCGCTGGAGTTGCCAGCCTCCGCCAGTCTTTCCTTCAAGACGAGGTCTCCGGGCTCCCGGCCGTGGGGAAGTGGGGCGTTTTGGGTCCCTTTCTTTGCTCTCTTTCTCTCTCTCCTCGGGACCCCCCCTTTTTCTGGCCGCTCAGCCGCAAGGCCCGTGGCGGGTCGCTAAGCGGGGCTGGTGGGGGGGAGGCCAGGGACTGCTCTAGGAACACTGGATCGACATGTAAGGCCAGTTGAAGCTGCTGCCGGAGAGCAGCATGTCTCGGATGAGCGTCTCGATGGGGGTTTTACCTACCAAGCGGACGAAGAAGAGCTGCTCGATGACCGACGAGGAGACGGTGCGCAGGGAAGGCAGCCGGAGGAGCAGCTTGCCGAAGCGGCTGGGCTGGTTGGGGTATTGGCTGCGCACGTATTCCTCCAGGGCGCACTGCGATTTCTCCTGCAGGCTCTCAATGTGCGCCGCGTCCGACAGGCCACAGGCATCTGTCCGGCCATCAGGAGAAGCAGCGGGGGCGAAAGGGAGAGAGACAGCAGGGCAAGAGGGTTAGCGAGGGCCTGGACATCCCGGCTAGCCGGCAGGTCGCACCCCACCCAACACCCCTCCTCTCCCGACAGGAGACCCCCGGGGAACCCGGACAGCCAATCCCCGGGACCTTCTTCACCTGACTGGCCTCTCTTAAAAATAAAAGGGGGCAGAGGGGATCGGAGATCCGTTTTCGGCGCGGCAACCACGCGGCTGCAGACGCCAGGAGGGGCCCAGGCCTCGCTTCCTTCCCCGAGTTGCATCCTATTGTTAGCCGGTGGACACGCGCACTTTCCCTCCCTGGCGTAGAGAGCGAGAGCGAGGGAAGGGAGGGAGGGAGTCCGCCAGGCCCGCCAGCTGTGCGTGGAGGGTGGGGGGGAGAGTGGGGAGGAAATCCTTCGTGGACAGACTCCCAAGGACGCCTCGCCCCCCCCCTTCTCCGGCGCGTCCTTCCACACTCGAGGGAAAGGCTCCCGGGTGGGCTGAATGAGGCCAGGTACGGCAGATGAGGGAACCGAACCTGGCTAGGCTAGGATCCCGAGCCCGCTCTGGCACGAAAGGCAGCCGCCTCCATTTCCTGGAAGGGGGGGGAGACGAGGAAGGCTGAGACAGAGAGAGAGAGAGAGAGAGAGAGAGAGAAGGCGAGGTAGACTAAGCAGCGCCCTCGCTTTGTCTCCGGATCGAGAGGCGATCGCGGAGCCGTTGAAATGTGGCGGCGTTTCTCTTGGAAGCCGGATAATCATTGCCGGGAAAATGGCTCGGCTCCCGGCCCTCCCCTTCCCTCTCCCCCCGCTTTGCGCTAAGAAGGCCGCTTCTTCGTCTTCTGCAGCTGCTCTCGCTCGCCTTCACAAAGCTGCGCCGCCTGCCCGGCCCGAGCTGGGAGGCTGCGGCTAGAGCCGAGGAAGGAGGCCTCCAGAGAGTCGGGAAAGTGCCCAGCTTCAATTTTCTTGCATCTCCCTCCCTCCTTCCGCGTAGGGTTAAAAAAAAAAAAGAGAGGGGGGGGGCGAGGTAGCCAGCTCTCCTTCCTAATAGCTTTCCGACTGCTTCCCTTTTATTATTATTAACATCTCTTTTATTCATTAAACATGAAGCTCAGTCAAATGAACATTTTAAAATGCGTCACAAATACCATTGACTGGTGCTAATGGTTGATACGGGTTGCTGCCAGCGTCCTAGGTGGTTTATTATTATTATTATTATTATTATTATTATTATTATTATTATTATTATTATTATTATTATTATTATTATTATTAAAACAGGGAGAGAGAGAAAAACAAGAGTGGAAGGAAA